ATGAGAGAAGAAGAGGCAGCTGCAGCGTAAAGACAGAGAAAAACTCCAGCTTTGTGTCTTTTCCATTGTAGCTGAAGTCCGGGACAAACTGTTCCTTTTCACCTCAACATGACACGGGTAATATTTTCTCTGAATGAAATACGAGACAATTCCGTTTTTTAGGGGACGGTTGGCAACTCTACTAACTAACCTTATGAGTAAAATAAAGTTCACTATCATAGCATTTGCCCGGTATGCCCGATGGCCAGTCCAGCTATGCCGCTGTGATGTCACCTCACTTCAAGTCAAATTTTGAAGCACGGATGTGAATATTCTGGCCGATGCCGCCTCGGTGCTTTGAGGCTGTGGCGAGTGAGGGCTCACTGTGGAACGACACCCTCATTGCCTGCAGTCACCCATCAGTGAGCGTATCCTGGGTAATCTTCCAATGATTTGTACAGATGACTTTTATTTTCATTCACTGTGACCCGACATGAGTGACTGAGCCCAGAAACTGATCAGCAGTGTTACTGAGGTCAGGCTGATTCAATAATGGGTCACACTGTTCACCTGCGGGGCGGGCGAGACGGCAAGGTGAATCTGTGATGACACCAGAGTCCTTTTACCATCATGTCAAACAGACCTCCCTCCTCCTCCTCTCCGATCACACAAAGAGCTCCTTTTTCCCGTCGAGCACCGAACATTTAAATACCGATTTGACAAGTGAGGATGAGGAGGGGGTGAAAGGAGTGTGGTAATGGAGGTGGGTGGGGGCTGGTGGTGCTTCTCCCGGGCGCTGAGCCAGCCCGTCGGAGATCCAGAGTTCATCTCCACCATTAAAACTCCATTTAGGAGACCGAGGACTCGTTTATCACGCCCCCCTGAAAGCTCACATCTCCACGCTCAGACCTCATATTGCACTGAACACCCACTGGACACTTTATTAGGTACACCTTTGTCTTTCACGCATCAGATTCAACAGGCTGCTGGAAACGTTCCTCCATGTTGACATCATCATGATATCATCACACAACTGCCTCATCCATGATGGGAATCTGCTGTCCCTCCACATCCCAAAGCTGAGATCTGTGACAGTGGAGCTGTGCGCTCAGAGATGCTCTTTTGCAGACCTTCCTTGTAAAACGTACTTATTTGACTTCCTGTTTCCTTCTTATCGGATGCTCAGCGCGCGGCTTGTCTTCACCATACAAGCTTAAATGCCGCTGTTGCCACGTGATTGGCTGTTTGGGTTAATGAGCAGGTGAAAAGTTAACAAAGCGGCTGGTGAGTGTCTCATTTGAACTGTTGTGTGAAATCTTCACCAAAGTTTAATGAACTGTTTGCATGTGGATGTTCGTTCATGTGTTAATGAACACGTGATGATCCAACAGGAACGTTCCTGTGCTCTCTTACCCTGCTGTGATTTACATGTATGACCCCCCCTTCTTGAACCTGATTCACCTGAATTCAAGCACACCTCCTCCCTCCCCTCCTCCCTGCCTCTGCTGCGGACGGGGGAGGAGGGGGAGCAGGTAGGGAGGGCGGGGAGGGAACTGCGCCTGCGCCCAGTCTCTCCATTCCCTCCGCATCGCCCCCACCCCTCTCCTCCCTCCCTCCCTCCTCTCTCTTTTCTGCAGCATCAGTACCACCTCCCCCGTGCCTCCTCCCCCTCTCTCTCTCGCTCGGTTTTCCTGCCGGGCTGCTGCTTTGCGCGCTGCGGGGCCACACTGCGACCACACCGAGGAGGAAGAAGAGAAAGCCGCGGACCGACGGGGGGGCCAGCCGAGCCAGAGCGGCGGACATAAAAAAAAACCGAATAAGAAGAAGGACGCGGGAGGAAGAAGGAGGCGCGGACAGCGAGCCCGAGGAGCAGAAGCAGAAGGCGGAGACGCGTTCCTCCCTCCATCTCTGCCTCCGTGAAGAAGAGCCGAGAGGAGCAGCAGCAGGAGGACCGCGAGGACCTCGCAGCGGAGAAAACGACGAACGACGCGGAGCCGGAAGCCTCCCCCCCTCCCCCCTGGACCAGGGACGATTCTCCGTTTGTAGCAGCGGCGCGGCGACAAGATGAAGGACCGCACGGCGGAACTGCGAAGCGTAAGCTCTCCTCCTCCGTCTCCTCTTCCCTGTCGGCCTCCATCATGTTCGCACATCCTCCTCCTGCGGCCTCCGGAGGAGCGGGGGGAGGGGGAGGGGGTCTGTGGCTCTGCGGAGCTTCATGCTGTGAATACAGAGCGCGAGGACGGACCGTTACTGTCGGCTTGAGCGCGTGCTCCGTGCGCGTGCGTGAGTGGAGGTCACGGCTGCGGCCGGACACTTTCCCGCTTTTTTTATTTCTGCTGTTTTTGGGGTTTTGTGGCGCTAACATCAAAGGCCGCCGCAGAGCCCCCCCGTGCATGATGGGAAAACGGCTTCAACACGCGCCCATCCGCGCGCATTCAGGCCGCGCGTGCCTGTGTGACCTGATGGGGGGAAGGGGGGGGGGGTCCAAAATGCAGAGATTTTTTTTTTCCAGGCCGCATCCAGGAGCTGCGCGCGCCTCCTCCCCGACGGAGCCGCGTGAGTGTGGGGCCACCGTCAGAAGGGAGGGATCGGGACGGGGGGGTCACGGTCCTGTGCGGCTTTCACGCGCGTGCGGAATGCGGAGAGATGCGGCGTTTATGCGGCCGCCGCGAGCGAACAGCTGATGCTGGGTGGTGGTGGGAGGGAGGGGAGGGGGGGATGTCACATCAGCGAGTCAAACTCTGCAGCACCTCCACGCGCCTCCCGCCGCCTTGGGTTCAGCCGGGTTCGCGTGAGGCGGAGCACAGCTGCACGCGCACATTCGTACACGCATCGATCCGCCATCAGCGCGTGTCACCGATTATTGATCGACCCTGGGATGTTTTTATGAATGAATCCTCATTTGTTGCGGTTTCTTCACCTCCATCTTTCTCCTCCACCTCCCTGTGTTTCTGGGAGGAGCCTGATCAATAATACGTGATCAATAAATCAGCAGCTGAATGCTGTATGTGTGTGTTGAGGTGATTTGCATTGAAAAAGTGAGGGGCTCAGCAGCGCCTGAGTTTACCGCACTGCTGTCCGTCCACCCCCCTGCCTCCTCTCTGCCTCCTTTTCCTCCTCTCTGCCTCCTTTTCCTCCTC